GTGGCATGATCAACATAATCTTCGTTAGTTTGTGCGTTGGTGAGAAGAAGGTCGAAATCTTTACCCCAACCATAACGCTTGGATTCAAATATTTTTGATTTCAAATTCCCAACAGAAATAAAATGATCAAGAATTGGTATTGAATCATAATCCTTACAACTTTTATACTTGATATACACTGCCATAACTGAAATATTTTTGCTTTTGCTACTAAAAAGAAATCAAAGAAGAGAAACAAAGTTAAGAATTTGGTTGCACAGAAACAGAGTTAGGAATTGCGTTTTATATATAGACATTTTTTTTAACTTCCGAAACCAACTCGGAATCTGAAAGGAAAAAAAGATAGAAAAAAAGTTTCCTAAAACTGTAATCCCATTCCCATACGAACTCAGGTTTCCTTATTTTACACTTAACACAAAAATAATTTGATTTTATAAATTTATAATTTTAATATTTAAATTATTCTAGTAATATATGTTGAGCCGCCAGATCAAAATTATTTATTGTGGTAGAACCGTATAAGTCCTTTTTTAGAATAATTTTATCCTTTGAATATTTGAATTTGTAAAAAACATATTATATTCAATTATTTATAATTCTAATTATTAAAATTTGGAAACCTGATTGGGTTATTAATTTTTCGGGTATGGGATGTATTTTTGTTACTGCATTATTGTTTGACCGTAATTATTTTGTGATTTTGTGCCCCTGTTTCCATCCTTATTTTTTTACTTGACTGTATTTATGAGCGTTTTCTTGTTTGATTATATTTTTATGGTTGTGTACAAATACAATGCATTCAATGAACAACTAAATTATTTGAGATGATATGAGAGAAAATGGTCTAAACCCCCCCCCCCCTCCCTCAATCTATACCCGAAATTTCAACTACACACTCCAACTTCAAGGGTGTCCTATTACCCCCCTTGAACTTTAAATTTCTCTATTTTCTACACACTTAAGTAATTACCTGTCATAAGAGGTGTTCTCACCTCCTCTAGGCGCGTTAGAAGGTGAATTTTGACGAAAATTTACCCTTTTTGCAACAGTCATCTTCCCCACCCTTAAATAAACCATTGTTTCTTCTTCATAACAACAAAGACCAAATTCTCATACCGGATTCACCATTTTGATTTCACACAAACTTATAAACTCTCATGTAAAAGACTTAGAAAAAACAATCAATTCAATTAAAGATAAAATGACATGTTTTTCAATCATCCAAAAATGAAATCTGTATCAGATTTTTAAAAAAAAATTAAATTGAGTTTACATCAAATTCAATTGAACTCCCTAATGAGAATGTTTTTTTCCTTTTTATTGTAGATCTTTTAATTATCAATCTCAAATTTCAATTAATCAATGAAAGGATTCAATCTCAATTGACATCCATTAATGGCATTGCTAGTGCTTTCGTTTGTTCTCCCTCTTTTGTTGCTCGACCATCAGCCACCACTGTCGCCGCCTCCGACGAAACCCAAACCACCAACAAAACCCCATTCTTCTCTTCCCCTCTCCTCTTATCTCTCTCCCATTCCGAGACAACCACCATGAAGACCTACCTCTGTTCTCACAACAAGGTCGACTACAACAACAACAACAACAAAACCTTGCGGCTGCACTGCTCCAACTAGCGAACTCTGGCGAAGCAAGCAAAACTTCGACGTAGCAGTGATATGCACAGATCCTTTTAGATTATTTTTCAATGTTCTCCGACAAGCAAAACTTGAATATCGCTTGACAAGCTCCCGCTATCAATATTCATCTTTGTTCCTCACAATTCCATAGGAATTTGAAAGAATTGGGGGAAGAAATTACCTTAGAGATTTTAAGAAATTGGGAGAGTATAGGAAAAAGTGGAAAGAAATTATAAAAAAATTGAAAAATAATAATAAATTAATTGAATTTTCACCTGTAAAACGCGTGAAGTTCACAGGCCAACACAGATCTGGTTATGACGTTTTAGGGGTGTAATTATTACAGTTTTAAACAATTCAGGTGGGTGATAGGACTCCCGTAAAGTTGGAGTGTGTAGTTGGGATTTCGGGTATAGGTTGGGGGGGTTTTAGACCATTTTCTCCA